CATTGAATTAACTGAATTTTTGGCTCTCATGAATAGTTCGGTTTACTTACTAGTGATTCAATTGAACCGATAACCCTTTTCTTGTTATTATCAGACAATGTCAATCATCGTTCAATTGGAAACTTGTCTAATTCCAGACAGTGTCAACACGCGTTCACACCATTCTCTAATTCACTCACATATACAATGCCAAATATCACTGCTTCTCTGTCACTAAACCAGTATCAGTAAAACTAACCATTTTATCAATTATTAACACTTCAATACCCGTAGTACGCATATCATGACAGATTTTACGTGAACAAATCAGTTTGAATTCCCAACTGATATCTCAATTGAAATGTAGATCAGATTTCTCCATTCAGCAAATCAAATAACTGCCATTATATCAATATGTCACAAGAATTTCAGTCGAAATTCAATAACCTACATGCCAGTTCATACAACACAGAAATTAAATAGTAATTGAGAAAGAATTCGATTTCACGATCAACTGCACACAAAACACTAATCATTCCATCACTGTACAACAATTACATAGTCACTAACTCACCAGTCGCCTCTTCTACTAAGAAAATCGAAATCAATGACACAATACCAATTAACATATCAATTCAATCTGATACCAATCCGAATTTCAGCTACATTAATACTTCTTAAATAATGGAATGAGTGAAAGACATGTTATGACTGAACATATAGTTTGCTTAGTGTAAATAATTTATTTAACTAACATAACGCTTTATTTACCTTCAATTCACGTGTCATGCAATTCGATAATAATTTGATGATAATCGAATCGATTAATCACATTTAATTCTTGCATATATAGCGGTAACATATGGAAGTGAAAACAACTGTCAACCGATATCAACGTCAAAATCTTCAACACGAGAGCCAACACAGTTGGATCAGTTGAACATAGCTGAAATTTCGAGAATGAACATGACCATTACAAAAATGTACAATATGCATAAACAATTGTCTACTCAAGATACTCAATGTTCAATGGCCAAATACCATCAGCAACACACTACTGTGGGAGATAACATAACAGCTTCCAGATCTACAAAAACTAGTGATAGATGAGGAAGGTGGATAGGACATATATTAAAGAAAACAATAAATCACATCAAGAGGCAAGCGCTTACCTGGATTCCTGAAGAGAATCGAAAAACAGGAAAATCAAAGAACACACGGAGTAGAGAATTGGAGGCAGACATGAAAAAGGTGAATAGAAACTGGAAACAACTGGAAAGCATTACCTAGGACAGAATTCGATGGAGAATACTGGTGTGTGACTAACGCTCCTCGACGTGGACAACAGACGTAAGTAAATAAGTATATAACGGTGAAAAGATTGTATAAACACGAAAGTGGTTGCTTCATTGCTGTTAATTCCTACTATTAAAATTCATCTAACAAAACAATCATAATATTCCACTAAACAGATATTCAATTATACAACTCGTCACTCTCAATTGTAAACTGAGAGATATCACAGATACCCAGTCAAGCAATCTCAAATAATGCACACTTTATTGGAAATAACTTCAGCTTTCACTTATAATCCACTGTTATATAATTAATATTTCATTTCGGGCATCCTCAATTGAATCAACACCAGTGTCAAGAGGTGTCAGCTGTTGTTATTGCATTTTATCCTCTTTCAAATTTTATCTGGCTAATCGCATCTCAACAAACAACTCAACACTATGCACCAATATAATTCATTCCAATTACGTAAGAAGAAAGGAAATTAGATATTGAATTATATCGTCACCACGACAAATGATCTAATTAATTAAATCACTTACACGGAGTTGTTTCTAAATGATACATAATCAATCTGTAATCTACTAATTCACTGAATCAATCCTAGTGCTTATCATTCAATAAAACTATTGTATCTAACCAATTCATAAAATATTAGTTCGGAATTGTGGTCACAAATCAGATAACGTGGTCATAAATTATTTCTCCACACTCTATCCTGTTGAAAGCAACATGAATGCTGAAAACTCAGCTATTTCAACCATATCACTTTTACTTATGATTTGATATTTGATTAATGTAACGTTGAACATTACTCAAGATTCAAGAGAGAACAAATACACATAATGTTAGATGTATTCTCATGTGAAAAATCTGGAAATCAATTGTCCAACATTCGAAGTGATTTGTTTCGTGAAACTTTGAGTTGTTTCTGCTTTTGTGTTATCGCTATTTCAATTTCATGAAATGATTGGAACAGTTTGCGAATTCCCATTTCACATGGACGTGTTCGTTGGGAGTTTGTTTGCAAGCAATATCAGTCGCGTTTTGCTGATCACAATACGTGCTATTCCATTTTACTACACTACTGTTCCCTATGTTACAGTTTCCTGACTACACTCGTATAATTGTGATATTCCATAGTGTATCATCATAAATAGTGTATATCTGAATATTTAGGTTTAGAAATAGACAAATGAATGCACTCATCTGTTTAAATCATGACAGACTGGAAATGCTCGTATGTAATGTTAGTCAGCTGTGATCATATGGTGTCATCTTAGTGTCATCAACTGTTTGGTTTCGGAAATTTTTCTGTTTCGAGATTACATTTTGTATAGAACGACTCATTTGGTTAATACGCTCTCACAAACATCCCTAAACACATTTTCAACAAATGGACATTACTCATTGCTTTTACGAATAATTCAGATTCTACGTGATAACTTACACCAAACAATTCAACAACAAACAATTATGGAAAGTTTAGAACTACTGTCGATCAACTATTCACAACTGATAATATCAATTTATGACTCAGGTTGTTTTAAATGATGATAAAAGTCCAGCACCTTATTCATCTCACAGAATCTATATATTTCCATCAATTTTATTCAACATAACATGGCTGGTAGATATCAATAACAAATCAAATCGTGCTGTGATGAAAAGTACATCAAATGTCTTCATAATTTGGGCTACAGTATCCGACTGAAACAGACGTGAATAAACCAAAGACCGTCCGACTCTACATAGATGGGATTTGTTACGCTGCCTCATTCTGAACTCATCCAATAGTAGCAAGCTTGGCAACATGAAAATCAGGAATTATCTCTCTCTCATTCTGCATCAACCCTCCATTTTAATAACAAAATTTGTACAACTGTAAGTGAACTGTTTAAACAAGCACACAGATATACAGACGCTCATGCATCAACCGTACAATGTTCCGTACATAGATCTTCATCAATTCACATCCCTACTTCCAACAATAAATACATCCTCACATTTTACATATTCTTACTATCCGATCCATCAAATATATGATCATGACAACAGAAGATTTGTCACCTTAGGAACTGTGATTGAAGTGCTGTCGATTCTCTCACTACATTGTTGATTCCCTTCTTATTTCCAATCACTTAGTATTAAAGGTGTACATTTGCATGTACTTCTTTGATACCACTTGGGTGTAGTTGCACTAGCATCGTCATCAAAATAACTATTGGTTTCCCTAAAATCACTTTCTTTAACAAAATCTGATGTATAAATAAATATTCAATACTAACTTGATAACTGAATCTGATTTACGTCACAGCAATTGAACAGGATTCTGTTCAGTCATTAAATATATATGAGAAAGGGATTGGTTGTTTTATACCGATAGCCAGATACTGTATATCGTTTTCACCATGCTAACAGACAACCACAACGACATAGTGTTATGTACCCACCATGAGTAATTTTAACAATTAAACAGCATATTCAATGAAGGTGTAGATTTAATTACGTAGGAATTTTGGAAGGTCAGCAAATGCAATTGAACCTCCCAATAATTAATTAATTATTTAATTCCAGAATCACATACATGTTTACAAAATACCACATAATTGCACTTATCATAATTCTACGATAAACATTCTGAGAAATAACAGCCACATGAGCAATTTCTAAATTGTAGACAAAGATATTCATTACACATGAAAAAGTCACACGATAAATGGGATTGTGTGCAACAGTAGTTGAATATTTCGTCAGACACTGGATACTTATTAACAACAAACACTGTGATGTGTGCCACTTATATGAACAGATTGAACAGAATTGGAAATATGATTGTTACTGACAGAAGAGGAACATGAGTAGAAGAGAAGGAAAATCAGGATTGATGTGAGTGGCAACAGGAATTGGTGAACGATGGAGGTCAGACGAGGCAACGCATGGAATATGTGCAAATAAAATATTCCTTTGACTCGTTTCATTAGCGGACAGAATCAACTAAACGACGTTCGTACTTCAGTAATTTCTCTTGAAAATTTTCAAACTTTCAATTACTCAATACAAATCCACACAAATGCATTCGCAACCACGCTATCAATTTTAAATCGAATTGCAACTAATTACAAGTAGATTTGTTCATAATATTCTGTTGAAATCAACATCACAATAATTGAGCCAAACATAATCGTGGTTCTTATGGTCCCACATCAAATGTTATTCATCCTCACAATACATTCAACCTCACTCAATGTGAAAAATATGTTTTAAATGAGTAACATTCTGATCACATTTCAGATGTTATTGTAGCACATGTTGGCTGCTCTCACAAATCATATATGCAATGTAGAATCCATATTCAATATTATGATGAATCAATTAACATGTCAAGTGTTCCTGAAATAGTCTCAAATCCAGATTGCTCTGATGTGATGTCGTTCACATAATTGGAAAAATTAAATTAAGTCACCAATTTTAACAGTTCGAAGTTCGTGGTTAGACTCGATGCCTGCAATGGTAGAACTGAAGATCTATTTATGATAAATGCGACTGACTCAAAAGTTCATGCATACCTCAGAAATCTGAGGTGAACCTGAATTATCTGACATTAGAAATAAATTTTCTTCTCTTCATTATTATTTCTGTTGTCTACTTTCTCGTTAGAAGTATATATCAACCACAACTCTTCCGCTTTCCTTCTCAAAACAAACCGATTCGTTTGATGAAAAATGAATGTAGCTATTAGAATACTAAGAACTACATGTCGATTATCATTGCGCAGTAAAGGAAATGGTCATATGACTAACCCATTCGATAAGGTAGGTCAACTGCATACTGAAAGGTATAATTAATTAGATCACTTGTCGTGGTGATGATATAATTCAATATCTAATTTCCTTTCTTCTTACGTAATTGGAATGAATTATATTGGTGCATAATGTTGAGTTGTTTGTTGAGATGCGATTAGCCAGATAAAATTTGAAAGAGGATAAAATGTTCATCAATGATGCTGCCCAGATATGTAAAGGTTTCCACATCTTCCAAATCTTCTCCGTCAATTGTGATTGGGTTGGTGCATGCTGTGTTGTATCGGAGAATTTTGCTTTTCCCTTTGTGTATATTGAAACCTACTGCTGCTACACTGTTCGTCTTCTCCTGCATTTGTTGTTGCGTTTGGGATAGAAGGGCCAGATCATCTGTGAAGTCTATATTGTCCAACTGCATCCTAGATGTCCATTGTATCCTGTGCTTCCCTTCAGACATTGTCTGGTAATAACAAGAAAAGGGTTATTGGTTCAGGTGAACCACTAGTAAGTAAACTGAACGTTGCAGGAGAGCCGAAAATTCAGTTAATTCAATGTTTATGAGAGTTGAGTTGAACATTGATAATATTGAAACATTGTTATATTTGGTCCCATGTAAGGTGAAGTGACGTCTTCTTCTTCTTCTCCTACTTCACATTATTGATGAAATTACGAAGAGTATGTTATGATTTAGCATCACACGATATTGAGATCATATGACAGTTCATCGTACAGTTTTGTGAAAACACAGCATGCTTTGTACAAATGTGACCGTATCAAACATTTTTGACGAGATGAAATTGGCATACATTTCATCTTCATTTGACGCGACTGATATTGCTTGCAAACAAACTCCCAACGAACACGTCCATGTGAAATGGGAATTCGCAAACTGTTCCAATCATTTCATGAAATTGAAATAGCGATAACACAAAAGCAGAAACAACTCAAAGTTTCACGAAACAAATCACTTCGAATGATGGACAATTGATTTCCAGATTTTTCACATGAGAATACATCTAACAATATGTGTATTTGTTCTCTCTTGAATCTTCAGTAATGATCAACGTTACATTAATCAAATATCAAATCATAAGTAAAAGTGATATGGTTGAAATAGCTGAGTTTTCAGCATTCATGTTGCTTTCAACAGGATAGAGTGTGGAGAAATAATTTATGACCACGTTATCTGATTTGTGACCACAATTCCGAACTAATATTTTATGAATTGGTTAGATACAATAGTTTTATTGAATGATAAGCACTAGGATTGATTCAATGAACTAGTAGATTACAGATTGATTATGTATCATTTAGAAACAACTCCGTGTAAGTGATTTAATTAATTAGATCATTTGTCGTGGTGACGATATAATTCAATATCTAATTTCCTTTCTTCTTACGTAATTGGAATGAATTATATTGGTGCATAGTGTTGAGTTGTTTGTTGAGATGCGATTAGCCAGATAAAATTTGAAAGAGGATAAAATGCAATAACAACAGCTGACACCTCTTGACACTGGTGTTGATTCAATTGAGGATGCCCGAAATGAAATATTAATTATATAACAGTGGATTATAAGTGAAAGCTGAAGTTATTTCCAATAAAGTGTGCATTATTTGAGATTGCTTGACTGGGTATCTGTGATATCTCTCAGTTTACAATTGAGAGTGACGAGTTGTATAATTGAATATCTGTTTAGTGGAATATTATGATTGTTTTGTTAGATGAATTTTAATAGTAGGAATTAACAGCAATGAAGCAACCACTTTCGTGTTTATACAATCTTTTCACCGTTATATACTTATTTACTTACGTCTGTTGTCCACGTCGAGGAGCGTTAGTCACACACCAGTATTCTCCATCGAATTCTGTCCTAGGTAATGCTTTCCAGTTGTTTCCAGTTTCTATTCACCTTTTTCATGTCTGCCTCCAATTCTCTACTCCGTGTGTTCTTTGATTTTCCTGTTTTTCGATTCTCTTCAGGAATCCAGGTAAGCGCTTGCCTCTTGATGTGATTTATTGTTTTCTTTAATATATGTCCTATCCACCTTCCTCGTCTATCACTAGTTTTTGTAGATCTGGAAGCTGTTATGTTATCTCCCACAGTAGTGTGTTGCTGATGGTATTTGGCCATTGAACATTGAGTATCTTGAGTAGACAATTGTTTATGCATATTGTACATTTTTAATGATGATCATGTTCATTCTCGAAATTTCAGCTACGTTCAACTGATCCAACTGTGTTGGCTCTCGTGTTGAAGATTTTGACGTTGATATCGGTTGACAGTTGTTTTCACTTCCATATGTTACCGCTATATATGCAAGAATTAAATGTGATTAATCGATTCGATTATCATCAAATTATTATCGAATCGCATGACACGTGAATTGAAGGTAAATAAAGCGTTATGTTAGTTAAATAAATTATTTACACTAAGCAAACTATATGTTCAGTCATAACATGTCTTTCACTCATTCCATTAATGAAGAAGTATTAATGTAGCTGAAATTTGAATTGGTATCAGATTGAATTGATATGTTAATTGGTATTGTGTCATTGATTTCAATTTTCTTAGTACAAGAGGTGACTGGTGAGTTAGTGACTATGTAATTGTTGTACAGTGATGGAATGGTCAGTGCTTTGTGTGCAGTTGATCGTGAAATCGAATTCTTTCTCAATTACTATCTAATTGCTATGTTGTATGAACTAGCATGAAGGTTATTGAATTTCGACTGAAATTCTTGTGACACATTGATATATTCGCAGTAATTTGATTTGCTGAATGGAGAAATCTGATCTACTTTCAATTGAGATATCAGTTGGGAATTCAAACTGATTTGTTCACGTAAAATCTGTCATGATATGCGTACTACGGGTATTGAAGTGTTAATAATTGATAAAATGGTTAGTTTTACTGATACTGGTTTAGTGACAGAGAAGCAGTGATATTTGGCATTGTATATGTGAGTGAATTAGAGAATGGTGTGAACGCGTGTTGACACTGTCTGGAATTAGACAAGTTTCCAATTGAACGATGATTGACATTGTCTGATAATAACAAGAAAAGGGTTATCGGTTCAGATGAATCACCAGTAAGTAAACCGAACTATTCATGAGAGCCAAAAATTCAGTTAATTCAATGTTTATGAGAGTTGAGTTGAACATTGATAATATTGAAACATCGTTATATTTGTGTCTTATGTAAGGTGAAGTGACGTCTTCTTCTTCGTATTCTACTTCACATTAATGATAAAATTACGAAGAATATGTTATGATTTAGCATCAATTATCATCACACGATATTACCATTTATTGTTGTTGTTGTTGTTTTAGGAAAAGGAGGTAAGTGGAACAGAATAATGTGAAATGTTACTCATGATTGCCAGTTACTAAGTGAATCAAACAGAGAATGGTAACACGAATAGTCGCAACAATGTTTAGTGCAAATAATTTTATGTTCAGAAATCTGATACGATAAACTGTTTGCATGATATCTTATGGAATATTTGCCTTCAGTAAGGTGACATTATGAGAAACAGTCTGAGTAGTGTGTATCTCTGTGTTTCTCACAGATGAGTTAAAACAGTTTTTAAGGTTTTAGCATTAGAGGATATGAATGAAACATATTCTGTAAGAAGTAATTGTGTAAGTTGATCACATCCATCATATTGATAATAACTACTCATGATATTGAAGCATTGTAGGTAGTAATGGTTGTTTATTTCATTCAAGTCTACAATAGATATACTGACTATCAATAATTTAACATCAATGAATAGATTTGCTCTGTTGCATTCTAATCAGAACATTACAACACAAACAATCAATGTTGATTTTCGTAATGTCAATGATTTTGTTAGTGATCTTCAATGTGGAGTAAGCGTAATAATTATTTTGTTAATGCAATTAATTCACCTGATATATTCTCTGTCTCATTTGTCCGTCCCTCTTCCTATGTATGTCTATTCAGGAAGTGTTCATTTTAGACATACTATTTATTAATGTGTTCTACTGTCTCAGAGTGTATGGGACACAAAATATGGGAGAATTTGATTCACTAGTTTACTATTTAGATTGACTTTATTTTCCGAGAACAATTAACTTGCTAATTACATGGTAATGTGAATATTGTATTGACTGAATTATTCTTGAATAGTTGGGGTAGAAATCCTCTTTGTTTCATTTTTACATCGATGATGTCGTTTGTAATCGAAATGTAATTTAGCGATGGTCAGTAAATCTTGACTTATTAGGTTTATTTTCATTTGTCAATTTATGAGATTGTTGAGATTGGCGATTCATGAACTATGTTTCACAGCTGAGTGTGAAATTCGTTTGATTCAACTGTTCCATTTGTGTTTGATAGATTTTACATATTTGGTAAAAATTACACCGGAAATATTCTGGGAAACATGTTAAGTAGATGATATCTACCTCAACAAATTGAATGGAATCTAGTGAAGTTATGTTTAATGAGTGTCAGCGATAGTTGTGATATCATTCCATCATCACGTTCCGCTCAATTCAGCCTCATATTATAATGCTAGATATTGTGATTTGTTAATTATCATTGAAATATGCATGAGTAATCAATGTGGTTGACAAATTCTTGTTGAAGAATCCTTATTTTGGATACATGGTAAGTTGGATGTCACTCTACAATTCTAAATCTTTTATTACTGAAATTATTGTCAGACACAACGTATTGAAGTGATCTTTGTCTTATTTCGTTGATTATTGTTATATTTATGTGGGAATTCATGATGTGTGTTTGATTCAATTGTTGGCTTGCGAACTGGATGGGTTCAGATTTAAGTATTGACTTACAGAATAACACAGGGATCTAATTTCCATACTATTTTTGAAAATATACATTCCACACGCATCTATGGAGACTAATGTCGAGTTTTCATTACTGATCATCGAGTTGTTGCTGAGAAGATCATGTTTAGAAGCACCAGCATCATTTCAGTAAATGAGCAATTCTTTTAGTCATCTACATTATAAACATTAATTCGATTAATAATTTTTTTGCAGGACCAATTTATACACACCTTTGGCTGACACTTGGAGATGCTTTTTGGAGAAATTACCTCAAAATCTCGGAGGCAAATACAGGGCGTGCAACGAACCAAAAAATAATACTACAAACAGTGGCTAAATATATAAGTTTATCTTGAGTTGTTGTTTTAAGTGAGTGAGGTCTCGACAATTTTATTCCGGTTTATTTGTGTGTTATTGGAATGTAGATTGTTTGAATGGTTGGAAACTCTATTGATATTATTGTGACGGGTGATGTGCAACATCTGATACTGAAACACTCACATTGTACACAAATTCAGCATATGTTCAGCAAAAGTGGGACGAATAAATTGAGTGTTACAAAATCCAATTTGCAGTCTGGTAGTGAAATGTGAAAAATTTCAATAAATGTGATTGATTATGATTAAGGTGTAAAACTTGTTGGTCATCATGGACATTCCTAATTGATATACGTTCATGTCAATAATGTGTAATGGTAAACCAATAATTCTTGTTGTTACTTATGAGTCGACTAGCATTGATTCATTATAAAGAGTAATTTAAAACTAAATGGAGTGCATAGAATCCTTATTGATTGATCTATACAACTGGCTTAGCAACAGCAGGCGAAGTGATTAATTGACATAGAATCGGTCTCCAGACAGTTAATGAATATCGATTGGTTGAAAAATACTAATTGGAGGATTTCCATAAAGATGAGTATTGTGAGAGAGATAGTTAGAAATTGTATGTCAGCATTGAAATGGATGTGCGTAACCGAGTTTTGTTTGGTGTGAAAGTAATCTGTGCTCCCAAATAGTTTGAGTTTTATACATTTGTCGACAGGTCGTGGTGGAAAATAAATGTGAATGATACCACTACTGATAAGTAACAAAAATACTCACCAAACATAAATTCCGACTAGTGAGATGACAATCGGAATACATACTTGTGAAATTATAGAGAAGTTCTAGAATTGTCGTTGTGGTAGTTGTGATGGTATTATTGTAGTGAAGAAGAACACCAGTGGGGCCAATCAAATGTATTTAACACAAAATTACAGGGCGTGTCTATAAAATCTATCAATCAAATAGTAAATATGTAATTCGCAAACTGTCCATCATTTGTCTCATAATGACTCAGACTTCAATGTTCCTGCATTTTCATGCAAATTGCATTCTGGTTCCACTATTTACTGTTCGATCCCGTTGTCTCTCTATTGCCTGACCTTCTGTTTACCATTAACACCATATACTACTTATGTCAATATAAGTAGCACACATCAGAGTATTAGTGATAATATTACTATTATTATTAGTACTGGTAGTGTTGACAGATGGTGTTGTATTAGTGAGAGTATAATGGTTGTATGATAGTCGATTGTCATTGATTCATCATAAAGAGTAATTTAAAGCTAAACAGAATGCACTCATTGGGAAATCACAGAGTTACAAAGATTAGTTTGGAGAAAAGTTGTGTTTTGGGAGAGTTCACTTCTGAAGTGTACAATCTCACATACCATGTTTCTCATAACGATATTCAGTAATTTGCCCATTACTGTTATCATGATGTGAGGATGATGAACTAGATAAATGTTGAATGACATGATAAAATGAAACGGTGATGTTCAGATGAACCATGATTGGGATGAGCATTCGAAGAGAAATATATCGGTTTAGTGGTAAAGTTGTGTGGTGGTAAAAGCAGAGAAAGTGAAAGATTTGGAAGAATAATGACAATCGACGCGATGTAGAAGATTGTTTCTGAATATCGAGTGGTTGGAAAATACTAATTACAGGGTTTCTGTAAAGAAGAGTATTTTGAGAGAGAGTAAGAGAGTTGGAAATGGAATGTCAGCATTGAAATCGATGTTCGTAGACAGAATTTTGTTTCATGTGAAAGCTATCTGTACTCTGAATATAGGTATCATTACCAAGGTTCGCTTCGATAATTTCGAATAAATTGAGCATTGGGTAGATTGTTATAAATCAATAGTATATTTGTAATATCCCAATGAGTAGAAAAATTAGATTTTCTGATGTTTCGTGGCTTGGTGTAAGTCACTTCTTCAGAAAATCTAACTTTTCTACTCATTGAGATATTACAAATATACTATTTATTTGTACTCTGAATGTTCGAATATAATACTTATATCGACAGGCCTTAATGGATATTACTGAGAATGATATCACTACTGATAAGTAACAAAAATACTCACCAAACATGTATTTCAACAAGAGAGATGATAATCGAAATATATAATTTTGAAGTATTAGAGAAACTCTAGAATTGTCGTTGTAGTAGTTGTGATGGTAGTCTCAGTGATAATACTAGAACCATTAATGCTGTTAGTGTTGGTAGATTATGTTGTATTAGTGAGAGTTTAACGGTTGTATGATAGTCGATGATGTGTGTAGATATCCACAAAATAAAATAGAAAGTCAACCTAACATTAATATCAAATGATAATAATGAGGGATTCAATATAGTTGATTCAAATTATCCTTGTGAATTAACCATCATTTATATAATTATCATAATAGGCTATTACTCTTGATTCCACTATCCCATCTGCTTCTCGATTCAACAGTGTAATCGCAACGAAATTAATGAATAGGGAAGTGTGTTAGTGTATAATGAGAAACATTTTGCATTTCGACTTGTCATTAACAATGCATGTGATGTATGTATGCTCGCATTTTCTCCCAAACATTTGAATGGGACATTTGTATGTGCTTCACACTCAATAGGATCAATGTGTGGTTGTATTACAATTGAAGTATGTTTGAATTATTGGAACAAGTTTTACGATTTTGTGTGTGACATTCAATTTGTCTGAATAGACAAGATGACTACAGTCAGATTCATTGGGTATTTGTAGATTATTAAAACAAATACTGAAGTCTGATGACTGTTCATCATACAGTTTTGTGAAAACACTGCATGTTTTGTACGAATGTGACCGTAATAAACATTCATGACAAGATGAAATTGGCATACATTTTATCTTCATTTGACTTCAGTTTTCTGAGGTATGCATGAACTTTTGATTCAGTGTGTGAGTCATTATCTTTTATCTTAAATAGATCTTTATTTCTACCACAGCACTCATAGAGCCTTACCACGAATTTCAAACTGTTAAAATTGGTGACTTAATTTAATTTTCCCAATTATGTGAGCGACATCACATCAGAGCAATCTGGATTCGAGACTATTTCAGGAACAATTGGCATATCAATTGATTCATGATAGTATTGAATATGGATTCTACATTGCATATATGATTTGTGAGAGCAGCCAACATGTGCTACATTGACATCTGAAATGTGATCAGAATGTGACTCATTTAAAGTATATTTTTCAACCGTATTATAGTATTTGTAAAATGCCGTATTTTATATTGTCATTATACATTTTTCCCCGACAAAGAACAACAGTCGTTAAGTAGAAATATCAACACATTTTAATTTCGATATAACTCACAATGGACACTGTAAAACTCATATAAGTTAACTTCATATGATATGTCTATGGGAAGCAGAAAACTTTGAGCAAAGTGGACACGACTAGATAATATGAATCGAAGTGAAAACATGCTCTGCAGTTTGCCACATATATGGACTGTTGATCCCGTCATAATACATATCTCTGTACATATTTGTGATTTTAAACATCTGATATATACGAATATGCTTGCGTCAAAGCACTGCAGCCTAAGGTTAGACGCTGATCAGTTCTTCATTGATAACTTTATCAATGATTACATGAGGATTGTGGACACGCAATTGATCAGACCGCCTTATTGAATGTCACTTACTAACCAGTTGCGCTCTGTTTTGTAAGAGGCCTTGAACCATCTCAATTTTTATGTTTTACGTGCATTCTTTTGTGAGTTACCCACTAGACATCAAAATTATTTGCTGTTTGTTAATCAACGCAATATGTATAGTACTTTCATAGATCTAAATTTGTAACTTCAAACGAATACGTCATTACTCGATGAACTATCATAAGGTTACAAACGAGACGTACTAGCTGGGAATATGATGAAAAGAATCTGGAACAGCATCCCGATGATACATATACACCTGCACTTAGTCATAATCGAATCATCAAGGTGAGTGAATTGAACGGTTGTAATTCATGTCAGATGATATGCTGTCTGAAATCAAACTTCTTGAATAGCTCAATTTTACAACGTAAATGAGGATTTGTGATTGTTGGAAACATTTCTGTGAATTTAGACACCCGACCTGCATTAGTTACATATATTTCAAGACTTTGTTATTTGGAAAAGCAATATCTGGCTACAACATTATGTTTGCAGATTTATCAGGATAAAATTACCTTTATTTAGTGCTAAATACCTATACTACTTAGACAATGACATATCGGTTTCCCATTCCATTTTATTTCCATCGAAAGAACAACACATCAATTCAGTAATGATTGTTTAATAACCTAATGATTTGTTTGTTTTATTTTTTTCACTATTAATCTTGTCAACAGCATCAAAATGCGGTTCATGTGAATGTGAGTCGATTTCATGTTGATATAACATATAACGTTGAAAAGAACGGAATCAACTACTTTATTTCAGCTTTTGACAGTTATCTAGTTTTAGGAAATATGGTACTAACGCTTAACAATTCCGCTGATGTACATCTCACCATAGATATCCCCAACTGTAACCCTGATACCAGTTGATATAATTAACATGTATGAAAACCGTTGTATTTGTCTTATTTTTTGGTTTTCATTTGATTCTTCATGACATGAAGTATTGCATTACATACATTCATAAGCAACATTTATTTAAAACTATTTATTTGTGGCTTCAAATATTGACTCGTTCATGTAACGAACAATACTAACTATCAGAAAAACGATGTGAACGAAAATGACAATACTAAACCACAATGAGGTGAAAAGTGGAGATGATTTTATTTAGCACAATGAGGATTTGATTCATGGATTTAGGTGATGTTTCACTCATCTTAAAATTCCCAAAGTCAATAGGATACACGTTCTCTATTTCCCAT